ATATTGAAAGAAATTCTATAAGGATATCACAAAACATGCATGTGTATGTGGTGTGCCAAATTAAGGATCATATAATGACAAGATTTATAAGACGATCAGAGGGTGGAAAGAGGTATCATATGAAGTAAAACAAGAAAAAAAGGTCGATCTAGGTAGATGACGAAGCCTATGACCTTTAGGGCGTTTAACTTATTTTATTAAGTAGATTAGGCAACTTGACTTGATATTGTTGCTGAATATTTGTACTCCTTCCGTTTCTAAATATTTGACACCGTTGATTTTTTAGCACATGTTTGACCGTTCGTCTTATTCAAAAACTTTTGAGAAATATGTAAAACTATATGTATACATATAAGTATATTTAATGATGAATCAAATGATAGAAAAAGAATTAATAATTACTTAAATTTTTTGAATAAGACGAACGATCAAACATATTTAAAAAAGTCAACGGCGTCAAATATTTAGAAACGGAGGAAGTACAGGCAACAAATATCAAGTGTACGTATATGCAATATTTTTAGAACATATTTGTGCTTTCTGAAATTAATGTTGATGAGTTATGTTCTTTGTTTGCTATATAGGACACTAATTTTGCGCTTGATGTTGGTCTAACGCTTTTGTTAGGAGTTGATGTTTGGTAATTTAACCATGTTCTGAGAGAAAAAAAATTCATCCCTCCGCCCAGGGAAATAAAATAAAAATGTGCGGGCGTGCGAGTGTACTAAGTACACAAAATAAAGTGGACGGAGGAAAAATACATTTTATTATAATTCTCGAAGAATTACAAAAAAATACAGAATCCTTGGTCAAATACACTCCACGGCCCATAAGCAAGGTGGATCTGACTTGGCGATTGTGATCTCCTGGTTCCCAAGGTTTCGGAAGACACCCGGTTAATTACTCTCGCGGGTTAAACCCGTGAGATACCTCCGATTAAGCTACGCTAGTCATCGTCGTCTGTCTTCGCTTCACGTTCTCTCATGCATGATGGTGATGGTGGTGCAGGTGTGTGAGTGGCGCCGGTGGTGTTCGCGGCCTCGTCGGTCCGCACGCCGGTGTTGGTGACGTCGTCTAGATGTCGACTCCACCCGCCCTGCCATTTTAGCCTCATAGGTTTTGGATGGCGTGTTGGTTTATATTGTTGTTGAAGATATGCATGGAATAGTGTAGCCTGGATGACCCGACGACGTAGGAATTGCATCGGAATTACATTATAAAAGTAAAATGATCAATGCGAATGATAGCCGAATTGGTCATGGCTGGGAAGTTTAATACGCAGCAGCCCCAAATGAGTATGAATCTGCAAACTCATTTTTGCTTGTCACCATGTACAGTAGCAAGCATGCATGTCTTGTTTTGTTGGCTCGTCACCGTATACAATAACATGCACAAGTCAGTCAGCATCCGCGACATGGGACGGCTCAGCAGCGTAGCGCCCTGGCGGCTGCCTCGACTCCCTTTGGCGTGCTCTAGTGAGGCACAATGACAAAAAACCTTCTCCGGCGAGCAGCGGATGATGACGAGCATCGCTTGGTAGCGTTGCGTCGTCTACGGACTCAGGCGGCTCGGCGACGACGCGACGTCCCCGGCAACTCCGACGAGATGGCTTACGACGTAGCTGGAGCTAGTGACGCCTTGCGGGCACCGAGTAGTGGCACTCCGGCCGGCGTTCTCCTCGAGCAACCAGCTGATGAGTTCGAAGAAGATGGTAACGTCGACGAGAGCGAGCGGACGTCAGTGATGTCGCGAAGAGGAGGCTGCGACCGGGAAGGTGACAACGTCCAGCGTCTCGGCGACATCACAAGGCGTCGTGGGATAGAGGTTGCGGCCGGCGAGGCAAGGACGTCGTGGCAGCAGGTAGATGTGTCACCGGCGACCGACGTCTCCGATGAGAGGGAGTGACGCGATCTCCGGCCGGCGGTGCGTCCGACAGGCGGAGAGGACGCTATATCCGGCGGGCCGAACAGCACCAGAAACTTGCCTCGTCGCCGTGTTGTGCATGCATGATGATCTGAACAGAAAGAGCAGGAAAACAAAAGAGAACTAATAAGCTGTACCCATGGCAATGGCTGGGTACGTGCTCCGGCAACCGTCTCCTCCTCCGCGCGCCTCCTCGCCGGACGCCGAGGCACTGCGGCCAACGTCACCGACCGCCGAGCGCCCGTGTTCTCGCTGGACGCCGAGATTCTCCAGCCAAAATGGTGTGTGTGTCTCTCTCTGTCACTTTTGTATGCGTGTGTGTTCTGTCTGTGTGTGTTCCTCCGTTTCTGTGTGTGTCCTCGTTGTGTGAAATGGCATGGCCTTTTATAGTGAAGAAAGGCGGTTCCAGCCAGTACATGCATGGCTCGATCAGTGCATGCGTGATCAGCCAATTGCCTAATTTAGCGATTAGCATTTCTTTCCATATGTTCTGTGATTCTTCCAATTAACAGAGATCCTTATTCAGCATGATTCCATCCGTGTTACGCCGACCGATCTCCTTTCCAAGTTGGAATGATACAGAGGGATCATTTTCCTCGTATTCTCGTATATACGCGCAATCTGTCCATGGTGAGGCATCGATAAGAAATCAACTGCCGGCAAATGATTTGATTATTGCCCTCTAATGATGATGCTACAGTGGCATGCTTCCAAAATCAATCCACCGTCGTTTCTTCTTTCCGTCGGTGATATCGCTTAGCCGTGCTGCCACTTATTCCACCATCTATTCCAGGCATATGTATTTATATATTCTATCCCGGCTGGAATACATTATATATATATATATATATATATATATATATATATATATATAGAGAGAGAGAGAGAGAGAGACGTGAGTATATTCACGCCTGTACATTAATTGGGCAGCACTGCACGTGTCGTGTCATATAACATTCTCATGTACGCCAGATTGTATCATTAATGATGATTAATCACTAATTTTACTATTGTACTGTCATTCCCGGAATTAATATTTTGACGCACCCCATTTCTTATAAAATAAAAAAAGATGTACAAAATATCATCGAACAAACCCACCAGCAGGAACAGGAAGACGAGTCAACCATTATTTTAAAACGAGAGGATGACGCCGGTTAAAAAGCTTTGATACAGGACCTAAAAGCTTTGAAACTTAATTTGAAAATTTCAAATCTGAGTTGAAAATTTTAAAATATGGGTCGAAAGTTTTAAACTTGAGTTGAAAGTTTTTAAATTTGAATTGATTTTTTTATAATTTTGAGGTAAAAGTTTTAAAAATTTTAAATTGAAAGTTTCAAATTCTTAGTTGAAAGTTTGCTCTTTTTTTAAAAAAAATTACTTTTTTTGAAAAAAATAATATATAAATTAAATTAAATGGATGTAGCTTTCTTAAATGGAGATTAATTAATGGATCACGCTGGATTAAATTTCATGCATGAGCCAGCTACTGATCGGAATATCGGATGATAAATTTCTCTTGGTCTTTTGTGTCCAGAAGTTTTTTTTTTGCTGATTACATTGGGATTGGGATGGAGGGAGTACTATATTGCTTCCCATCCCACAATCACAAGTTTTGTTTAACATCGGTATATTTTAATAAAATATAAATATAATTCTCGTCTGATATCCATCGAGAATCAACGGGACATATATATGCTTGGTGTGAGATCAACTTGTCACACTGATGGAATGCAAAAATAAAACATGAATGGGATATTATTGTGCTTGGTGTTTCGAGAATTCCCGATCATATATCACGTACTAATGACAGAAACAAAACATGAAACGAAGGAGAGAAGGTTAATTTTAACCCCATGAAAAGGAAGACTTAACTTATTTACGATAAAAATACATATACGTTTATGACTAGGGTTCACCACCATAAAAATGGTCCGTACTTTTATTAATTTGTGATACAAACCATATATGATAGATACAATCACTACAAGAAATATAACATTCTGCGACGAATTCCTCGTGACATCGGAGCTATTCATCATTAGCACATTCCATTTCATGACTATTAGTATGAGATGGGGTGGCTTAGTGATGAAAAAAAGGTGTTCATCGTTAATACCAACTAGAAATCATCATAAAGTATTTCAATGGGACATTGTGACGAATATTAATTTGTCATAAGGGGCAAAAAGCAAATGTCAAATATTTATATAATGCATTTCTAGAAAAATATATTAAAAGTTGAAGCAATTTAATCAGGTGAATTAATAAGAAAACTAAATTTTCCTTTAAAAATTATGGCCGGAAATATTTTTGTAATATTATACGTGGTCTAAATTATTCTCTGAAATTTTCCGTGAATTTTCGAAGCTCAATAATAACTTTAATACCACAAAGTTAATTTAACCTATTAAAATAAATGGAAAACGAATTAAAATCACTCTCTCTGTCCTCGGGCCTTTTTCGGCCCAAGTGTTACTCTCTCCCTTCCTCAGTCGGCAGCCTCTCTCTCCCTCCTCGGGCCGGCTTCCCCTTCCCCTCCTCCCTCTTCAGGCCGCCGGCCCAACCCTTTCGTTCCTCCCTCGCCGAGAAGTATATTTTGCCTCCTTCCTCTCAATTCAAATAATTTTTTAGGTACTAAATGATTTCAAATGAAAAAAAATTATCAACAACAAAGTTGCATAACTTATCAATATCTAAAACTTCTGTTTTGGCCATTTTGTTATATGACTTTGTTTCAATAATTTGAATTTAAATTTTAAATTATGACAATTTCAAACAATATTTTCAAATACTAAATGATTTCAACTGAAAAAGTCATCAACAACAAAGTTGTATAACTCATCAATATCTATAACTTTTATTTTGGTCATTTTTTCATCCGACAAATTGATAGTAACATTATTTACAAAATTTATATATCCCTTATAGTTTATAAAACCATATAACAGATATACCGTAAAAAAAAGTCCGTACTTTTATTTATGATAAAAACCATATTTATAGATACAAATAATGACTACGGACTCTCTTATTCAGCATATATTGTACGTAATATATGTATCTTAGGTGCATTCATGCATATAGAAACGGATCCTCTAACTTAGTACGCTCTCTAACTAATATGTAGGTTCTTAATTATACCGAACCCATATAGTATTAGCTAGTAACCCACGTTAGAGAGCAGTTTATTAGAGGAGACTCGATCGGCTTAACGTAGCTAGTAGGGGCGCTCCCCGTTAATGTTGCCACGCGGGTTGTAGTTGCAGGCGATCAGCGTGCTGCTGCGACCGTTGATGTTGCAGCCGGTGACGCGCGCGCAGCCGATCTGGGTGGTGCGGCTCCACACCACCTGCGTGTAGTGGCCGCACACCTTCCCGCCGACGCATTTGTTGCTGCTGCGATCGTAGTACGGCTTCTCGCCCACCCAGCTCCCCATCGCGTCCGCTGGCTTCCCGACCCAGCCGGCGGTGCTGCTCCACCCCCACCACAGGTTCTCGCCGTAGGGCCCCTGTATGTGGTCCGTCCGGCACGTGCTGGCGTGCTCCCGGGCCTTCGCCGCCACCGCCTCGCTCCACGACACCTGCGCCTTGACGCCGACCGCGGCCCGGGCGTCGTTGTGGAGCTTGACGAACTGTGCCTTCTCGGCGTCCGACAGGTCGGCGGCCATCGTCGTGGTGGTCGCCATCACGATGGTCGCAATGGCCACCGCCAGAGCAAAGGCAGCTCCTTTCTTCGGTACACTTCCCATGGTATCTCCGAATTCACGAGTGATCTTAGTCCTGCTCAGCTTGGCTAGCTATCTGAGACTGTATGCAGAGGTGATGATTAACGCTTGCATTAGGCAGTATTTATACTAAATGAGTTTGCTCTGCATGCATGGATGCAATGTCTCTAATACAATAATTCATTTTTGCTCTATGGTTCTTACGGAAAGATATACCTCGTGCCGGTATATGGATGTAGGGCACATTGGTTCAACTCGGAAAAACGTTATATGCCTATATGTTGTCAACGAGAAACCATCAAACGTTTCATGATCGACGACCATATATAAATGTTACTTTCATGGTTGAGATTTAGCAAATCTGTTCATTCAACTTAACAATCTTTTTTTTAGGCAAAATTGGTTATATAGCATCGAAAGTTCACGTTTTTTGTTTTATAGCACCGAAAGTTACCGGTTCACTTTAATAGCACCCAAAGTTCACCATGTTCCCATTTTTAACACTTCTGTCAATTCTCGATCATTTTCCGTCTGTGTTGATCCAGCCACACACACGATATGACGTTTCTACCCCTCACAAGTATAAGTATAATGCATGTCAATGAGGGGTAGAAATGTCATATCATGTGTGTGGCTGGATCAATAACGATCAAGACGGACGAAAAATTGACGGAAGTGCTAAAAATGGGAACATGGTGAACTTTGGATGCTATTAAAGTGAACCGGTAACTTTCGGTGCTATAAAACCAAAAACGTGAACTTTCGATGCTATATAACCAATTTTGCCTTTTTTTATTAACTTAACACATACTTAACTAGCTAGGTTCATATCCACCAGCGTCATCCTCTCGTTTTAAAAGAATGGCTGACTCGTCTTCCTGTTCCTGCAGCTGGTGGCTTGATGTTGGTCTAACGGTTTTGTTAGGAGTTGATGTTTGGTAATTTAACCCACCAGCTGCAGGAACAGGAAGACGAGTCAGCCATTCTTTTAAAACGAGAGGATGACGCTGGTGGATGTGAACCTAGCTAGTTAAGTATGTGTTAAGTTAATAAAAAAAAGATTGTTAAGTTGAATGAACAGATTTGCTAAATCTCAACCATGAAAGTAACATTTATATATGGTCGTCGATCATGGAACGTTTGATGGTTTCTCGTTGACAACAATTTTTTTAGAGAAGGGTATTTTTTACCCGACCTCTATATCCAACCGAATATATACGGCTATTAAAATAGGGAACTTAGCCCCGCAAACAACCCAATCTGAAATTCGCTCCATAGGAGATTTGAACTCAGGACCTTGGGGTACTACATATAGGCATATAACGTTTTTCCGAGTTGAACCAATGTGCCCTACATCCATATACCGGCACGAGGTATATCTTTCCGTAAGAACCATAGAGCAAAAATGAATTATTGTATTAGAGACATTACATCCATGCATACAGAGCAAACTCATCTATCTATTATATACTAAAAGTCCATGAAACTTCCTATAAATACTTATAAGCCACCATGTATCGCTCCTATAATCACTCCTAAACCACCAAGTGACACTACGAAATGATTTTTCTTTAAATTGGTGGGTTTAATATTATCAGCCATTAGATCTAATAAAAAACAAAATTCCCCTCTCCACATATACCGATCTCCCCTCTCCGGTTGGTACGTATGTACGTATACGTACGTAGGTAACTCCTCCCCTCATCTCTTTTTTCCTTTCCTAATCTCCAATCTCTAATTTAAGCCACATATCTTATTTTTTATTGTTATTTTAATTTTGACAAAATAAGTAATTTAATATCTATGTTGTTCTATGCGCCATATGCTTTATATGGCAACTAGATAAAACAAGGAAATATTTTTAACTATAAAAAAGTTAACAGCATATATTATTTTACTTTAAGTAATTCTACAAACAGGTGTCTCTAAATTATATCCACTATATCCAATCTATCTATAAAAGTCCATCAAATTTCCAATAAACATAACTAAATACCATGTGACGCACATATAAATGCTCCTATAACGCCACGTGACGTTCTAATAAATTAGATAAAAAAAACAAATTTTCACTAAAACAGCTAGCTCTAATAAATTTCTGTTTAATCGTTCTCTCATTATAACTAAATTAACAATATAAGATTCATATGCCTATATTTTGCTATATAATTATAGCATTTGGGCACAGTTCACCTGTGCACTTTGCAGCCATCTAAATACTTTAAAGTCTTACAACAAATATTATATCACTATGAATCATTCTACATTCTATAAACATGCATAGCTAAATTAAATCTATAGTATCGAAATAGAAATAAAAAACATATTCAATTTGACAATAGAAAAAGAAATTGTTGTCGAAACGACAACCGCATACGTCGAAAGACGTGGTTACTCAACAGTGGTTGGAAAAATGAAGTGTATTAAATTTTGAATTTCACTTGGGGATCCCCCGCGTTTTTACTACCAGGGTTTAGGTTGTACAGGGGAATTTACATGATTACCCTTATGAAAGGGACATTTACAGGGGTACATAATGTCATAGGGCTCATGGGCCCCTGATGGGCCGTCTGGCGATCGTCGGCCTGATGGGCCGGAGGGGCTTCCTCAGCCCTCGCGGGAGCGAACTTGTCAAGGCGAAGTCATCCTCCTTTGGCAGACAGTCTTCGCCTTGCACCCTTCGCCTGAGACGCCTCTGGCCTGGCGCTACTCTTCGCCTTGCGCCGTTCTTGCTCCATAGCCTTCGCCATGGGTTTCAGTAGGTTGGGTCGAAGGGCCTCATGCCACCCGCCAACAAGCCCCTCACGGGCAAGGGTGAGATTGGAGCTTCGGCCGAGACTGTGCAAACTATGTGGTATGGTATGCGGCGCCCCCTTTCGACCGATGCTCCTGCCGAAACCTACATTATTCCTGCAAATGAAGTTTGTTATTTGTGCGGCTGGTATTATCTTGCCGCGCTTCGCCTCGTGGGATTGATAGTTATATATATTCTTTTTTCCTGGGCCGAACGGAACAGTATTGGGCCTTCCTATCTTGGGCTTTTTACTGTGCCGCTCGGTCGATGGAATTTACCGTTTCGCCTACCCTTGCGATACGTGACACTTTATTACTGGTAGGTAGGCGAACGGTCGCCTGGGCGGGCTATATATTCCCGTTGCTCTTTCCTTTTCACCGCCACACTTGCCATTTTACCGTGTGCGCTTTCTTTCTCCGTCTCTTCCTTTCACAGCATCTTTCGACCCCTCAGGCGTTTCGCCGAATCACTTTTTTCGCCACCGCAAACGGACCGTTCGCCATGGCCCTCCGTAAGCCAAACCCCTCTTCGGCGAAAGGGCCAGATCCCGGCCGAGTCGACGACGACAGCACCGCCTTTCTGGGGATTTCTCTTGTGCACGACGTCGAGCTGGAGAAGCTGGTCAGCTCCGGAGCGTTGGTCGAGGGGCAGGCTTTCGCCCCAGGGAAAACCGTGGTGCCGAAACTTGTCGACAATCGGACGGTGGTGTTCGCCGTATTTTTTGAGGCAGGGCTACGGTTTCCCTGCAACGTGTTATTGCCGGAGATCCTTCGCCTCTTCCAGGTGGAACTTCCGCAGCTGAGCCCGTCGGCGCTTGTTCGGATCGCTATCTTCGACTGGGCGTGCCGGACTTCCGGGTTTGAGCCCAACGCCGAGCTCTTTGGCGCCATATTTTTCACCACCGTGAACTCGAAGACGGTGATCACCCCGGCTGGAACGAAAAAAACCGTGTTCGGGAGCGTGAACTTCAACGTTTGCCCCGAGCGGTCTGATCTCTGGCCGGTGAACGCTGCTATGTCGAAGTGGGTCCGCCATTGGATGGCGAGGTGGTTCTACCACACCATCCCCTTCGAGGCTGGTTCTGAATCAGCGAAAGCTCTCCAGTGCCGGCGTAGGGCAATTGCGCCGAACCGGAGACCCAAGATCGCTGTGGACGACGCCATGGAGGCGCGGTTCGTTCTACTGCGGAAGGTTTGCTCCCGCCTTAGCTGCTGTGACTTGGTGGAGGAATTTTGCATGCTTCACATTTTTCCCCTCTCCCAGTCATGGCAAGTCACGGTTGAACAAGGCGAAGAAGTCGACGGTTTGCCGAACCTGATACTCCCTGAGGGGGCGAACAATAAGACTGTTCTTATGTTATATAATGTTGTGCTTTGTTATTTCGCCTTATTTGACTTTTGACGTAGCTTCACGCTCTACTTTTACAGTGTTGACCCTCGACCAGGCCGAAGCCGAAGCCCGCAGGATGATCGGCGATGTTTCGGTCGTCGAGTATAGTCAGCTGTTAACGCGTCAAGCGGCTGGGCGGGCGAACCGGGTTTACAATGGCGAACTGCCTCCCCGGGCGAATCCCCAAAAGGCCGACGACGAGGCAGGGCCTTCGCGAAAGCGGATGTGTGGACAAGTGAAGCTTGCCCCCAAGAAGCGAAGGGTTCCTGCTTCGTCTGACTCTGACGCCGACGACGAGGATGATGCCGAAGAACGTGACGGCGAGGAGGAAGGAGAGGAAGAGGAGGAGGTGGAGGCTGTGGCTGATAAGGCCATGGGTGAGGTGGTCGAAGACCGCGCCGACACCCCTGGGTACACTCCTACCCCAAGTCCTGGTCACAACGAAACCAGGGTGGAGTCGAACAGCTCCCCCCTTCGTCGGAAGGATTTGGAAGGGGCGAAGGCCTTAGTTGCGTTCTCTTCGGGAGTGGCGGCGAAGGGAGGCCCTGTCAAAAAGGTGGCTAAAAAGAAAGGGCTCGTTGATGTCGCTCGCGTTTTTAGCGACGACGAGTCCTCCGACGGGACTCCGACTTCGCCCGCTGGTCGCAGCCAGGATCTTTCGGCCGCCCCCATTCCTCCACTTGGCGCCGCTGGAGTGGACGGTAGTACCGCCGTTGGGGCTTCGGCTTCTGCGGAAAGAATTGCGATGGCCGCGGCGAAAGTATTCGGCAGTCCTCCGCATCAGCCGGTAGCCTCGCCGCTGATGGAGGCGAAGGGAAAGGGAGCGGTCGCTGAAACGTCCGCTTCGGAATATTCGCTCTCGGTACCCCGCTTCGCCCCTGGCGACTTCGCG